ATGGGCATTATTCAGCCGGCGTCAGGGCAGGGTGCGGGGGGAGAGTTGTCCCTGCGGGGTCACGGAAAGGCCTCCGCCTCTAATGAGTTTAACGCAAACGTTTGCCCAGCTCTGAAGGTCACAGTTGGAAATACTGGGAAATCCTCTCTCCTCATGTTCCAGTCTGATTCCCCGGAGTTTAATGCCAGCAGCAGGCTGGGCTTTCTCCTCTTGGACCTGAGCCACCCTGCCCCGAAGGGCTTCCTCTAACTTTGAAGGTCACAGTGGCCAGAGAGGGAAAAATGAAGTGCTTGTTAAACGCGCTCCCTCTTTTTAAAGCATCTGCTCTGATGTCAGCTCAATAAACAGCACAATCTATTGAATTAAACCTGCCCAGCCCCATTGGAGAGCGGTATGTGAGCAACTCGCAGTGCCAAACCTTAGAGAGCAGACGGTGAGACCCACCCAAACAGGGAAATTCACGGAAAAAGCATCAGATTTGAGGGCAGGGACTCCCAGTGGGGCACAGTGCCACTGGCAGTGGCCACTGTCACAGCTCTGTGACCTCTTGGCACACGTGCAGTCTGGTCCCTGCGCTGCTCGAGTGAAGCAGGAGCAGAATAAGGACAGACAACACTTTTCCTAGACATCATCTAATCGTGTTTGTGGATCATCAAGCTACATTCATCATCTGCCAATAACCACGTACAGAGCAACTGCCTCTACGTCACCCTTTAGAGCCTACTGTGACAACTCCAACTAATTTCTAGCTAAGGACGTCTTCCCAATTCCTTTTTCTGCTTCACTTCAGTGGCTGCACAGGTTACTCTGCCCTTTTCCAGCCCACGTCTGGCTGTGAGCTCTGACACCTTTGCAGCCCTGAAGTGTCACAGCAGGGATGGACCAAAGCCATGACAGTCCCTACATGCTGGCCCTCAAGTTTCACTGGCTGCCCCCTCTCTTCCTGGGCTTATTTGGGTTACCAAGTGCTCCTACCACAATCTCATGAAAGAAAGCACCTATTTAATGTACTTCCAGGAGCCATGGGTGACTAGGGAGACCAACAGCTTGTGAAACAGCGGCTGCAGACACCAGCAACACACTTCCAATTCCCCCCTTGGAAGCCATCCCAATATCCAAATGATAAAATCTGGCTTTTCTCCAGAGGAAGACGAAATGGCAGCCACGAGACCCAGAGACAATGGAAGGTCACAGCCTCCTGCCTTAATGCATGTGCCTTTCTCCCATTGCTATATCCACAACAACCCATCAAAGGGAAGGCCAGGCTAAGCCACAGGATTTGCTCCTACCTCTTCTGGAACAATCCAGCCAGTGCGTGGCGGATGGGTGCCAAGGGTGGGTTTTTTATAGCCAAGGGAACTACTGGACAATGTCCCCCGTTGTATCGCGTTTGACAACCACCTGTTTTGTGAAGTACAGTGGAAATGGCATCTGTTCTTGGGAAGCCAGGTGCGCTGCCAGAAAACACAGGACAGGGATCAGCAGAGCCGTACTGTTTGTGCCACGGCTGCTCTAATTACATCTATTACGGAGAATCCTGACAGGGAGGAGAGAGAGGGTCAGAGGGAATTAAGGGGAAGCTGGAGCTCTACCACGCTGACCGTCAGCAGCCACCAACCAGCCCTTCAATCGCTTCTGCTCCTGCCTGAGCACAGCCCTGCCATTGGGTGCCTCGCTGCTCTCCCGGGTAGAAACAGAAGCCTTTTTTTCCTCTAACCCCAGGCGCTCCAGAACTCACCTGCCAATCAATTTAAATTACAGTGACAAATAAACATCCTAAGGAAGTAATGAGTTGTCCCTCAGAATGGCTCATGTACAACCCTCAAGCACTCCATGCTAGACCAGTGTTCTAACCGCTATTTCAAGAAGCGAAATTGGGCCCAGAGGTGAAGAAAATCTCTGGTGAATCTGGGCTTGGATTTGGGTGGATTGTAATGCAAAAAGCCACAGGCCAGGGAAGGAAATGGAGATGACACCCTCTCCTCCCCAGCTCTGGGGAAGTTCTTCATGTACTACAGACAAAACCACAGGTGATTTGAAATAAATCCTTGTAGTCAGTCCAGGTTATTAAACTGCCAGAACCAGTGTTGCTGTTTTAAAAACAAACACAGAGAAAAACGTCTCTGGATTTATTCAGGGATATTGTATGTTTTTTGAATGAAAAGGTAAGATTCTCCCAATTCTTGCTATGGGCTGAGCTGGGAACCACTCCAACATCTCTGCAGGCCTGTTCCAAACAGGCAGCAAACACTGCCCAGCCCTCTTCAGGAAAACGTGCAAATAAACGGGATGCCACATTGGAAGCCTGTTTCGATTTTCAGCCCCGGTGTGCTGCGGAAGAGATGGAGAGCACATCTTCTCCAAAGCCCACCCAATGCAAGGAGGCACAGCCGCTCCGTCTTGCCCTAACACAGCCCTGATGCCACCAGGGTACAGGCTGGAGGACAGGCGTCACCCTTAGGGCGCAGGACACTCGGCACCATGAAGCTCTCAGCCATTTTGGCGCTCCAGGGGAAACAGGGAAGGGGATTGAACGTTGAGAGAGAGAAATCTTGAATGCTGCAAGAAGCAGCCCAACTTATCATGCGGGGGTTGCTATGGCAACCCACCCAGTTAATGCTTCACAGGGGGAGGGAAAAAAAAAAAAAAGAAAAAAAAAGAAAAAGAAAAAAGGCTGGCACTTCTGCACAGGCACAACAAGACGAGGAGCTAAAAATAATGTCAGCACCTGCCCCCATTAATCCCTCACTCCTGTGGTCCCCAAGCCAGGCTATGGGAGAGGGCACACAGAAGCTGTGCGCCTGGCCCTCCCTGTGACAGCCATCTCAGCAGCTTCCTCTGCCATCCGCAATCACATCAGCTCGCTTCAGTACAAATGTCCTCTCTATCGTGCAGCTAAACGTCAGTGAAGCTCATTCCTGGCACAGCCCCTCCTGACTGTCAGGAGTCAACACCCCCATCACCACTGGGATGAACAACCATCCCAACCTCAAGGCCACCAGAGCTGTGTGACAACCAAATAACAGCGGTGCGATCCCCCCACGCACAAGACAGAGCACGAGAAGGAAGAGAGCGCCCTTTCCACATGCTCACTGCTGCTCCTACAGAGCAGCCTCCAGCCGGTATGAAACCAGTAAGGGGTTGCAGAGAAGTCATACAGAATGATGTATACTAATTTAAACATGTTGGATTTAATAGATGTAGGCATCCTGCCCACGCACTTGAAAAACCATCCTCCAGAAATCTGTAGCAAGGGAAGCCTTCTCTAGTCGCCTTTACAGGGTGCCTGGAGGGTTATAAAAGCTCATTCAGCTTTCTCTTTTTCACACTCGAGTTTTAAAATGCACTCTCCATGTACCTGCCAACATCTGGATCCCCACTCTATGCTCTACACTGCAGACAGCTCCAGCTTTGCTCTGCACACATCTTTCCAGCTGCAGACATACATCTCCAGCAGATGCACACTTCCCAGTGCTGGGGACTAGGTTGGCAGTGTTTAGCTGCCCTTCTCACCCCCCCATATTCAAGAAGGTAGGTCCCCATTGATGCTCTTAAGATGCAGGGACCCCAAGTGACCGTGAGATCTTATAAACTCTCTCTCCATAAATACCTGCCTGCATTTGTGAGATCTATTTCCCCCTGCAATGTAACGGAGCGGGGTTCCCCGTGCACACCCTTCTGTGGTTGCTGAAAGCTGTGCTCCATACTGAGCACTGTCTTCTGACATATACATGCCACAGGAACTCCTTCCACTATATACAGTCTGTGCACAGTCTTGATTTACTACTGCTAGTAGTAAATCCTTGGATCAGCTTCCTTTGTGCCTGTGGAAGAGGCCAATTTTCCAAGGCCTCTCTTCTGGATGGGCAATATTCTGACCCTTTAATGTGGGCCGCTCTCCCTTTCTGCTTTCCCTGGGGACCCACAAGGCACAATCTCTTTCCTGTCTTTATCTCCCAGATAAAACACAGGCTGTTCAACATCCCTCTATTTATCCTTGGCTCTGGGAATTGCTTTCTTTCCTTTCAGGGCTAACAATGAGAAGGACTGGATATTGGAGTGTCCTCTGTGAACAAGAAGGAACTACCCTGGCAAGCAGACTGCCTGAGCCGTTTGTGAGCCTTGAATGCCCTTCCTAGGATGCTCCCTGTCAGGGCAATACTTCCTCCTCCAATGCATGACAGCCTTGTGTAAGCCAGAGCCCGCGCACGCACGGAGGCCTGGCAGGGTCTGGGGACTGGGATCCCTTCGAGCAGCAGGTGCACTCTGAAGCTGGGTTGAAAAGTCTCCCCTCTGTGTCCCAGAAAGGCAGCGAGCTACATTCCTGCACGTTGCTACCACTTTGTGGTCAGCAACTAAATAAATACATTTTTCCAGACCTTTAATATAGGACATATTTAGAGGTGTGTTACCGTATACATCCTGGAAATTCTAAGCCCTGGTGTCAGTCCAGGTACTTTTGGGGTATTGTTTTCTGAGAGTTGATGCCAATAAAATCAAGCAGTGCATATGCACATAGGCAAGCCTTTGTGTGCTCTAACTGAAGTGCTGCTTTACCAATCTGGAGTCTAATCAGGTGGCACTTTCACAGATATGCTTTTAGGCCTCTCCTCAGCTCATTCACTTTAGCAGTGGATGAAAATCCATTAGCGGGTCAGAACGTCACAGACATTCATTCACATTTGCTCATTTAATTTCTGGATTCTTACTGCTAGTAAAGTA